CGGCGTCCGAGACGCGCTGCTGCTTGTTCGTCACGCCGCCCACCTTGTCGGCGTGCTGCTGGAGCGCGCCCCAGTGGGCGCACGGTGCGGATCTGCAAGGGGCGTGCCCCTCCATGCACCTCTGCGCGTTCGAGGGGTGCTCGGGCCAGCCGAGTGCCTTGGCCATCGGCTGGTACCGCTTGCCCAGAAACTCCTCGAGCTTTGGGAGGCCTCGCGCTGTGAGCGGGCACAGGATCGGCTGCTGTCGCTGCCGGCTCTGCGAACTCGCGGCGACATACTTGCAAAGGGCTGGCTTGAGCGTCTCGAGCGGGTTGGGGTCCGTCTCCCCGTCAGACGCGCCCGGAGAGTAGCAGCCGTCGTCCGACCCATCGGGCTGCTGCGCTGCCGCCGATGGCTCTTCCCAGCGACTGCCGCTTCTCCCGCCGCCACTGCCGCGGCCGCCGCCTCCGCCACTGCCGCGGTCGCCGCCTCCACCGCCGCCGCCATCGCCCCAGCCGCCGCGGCCACCGCCACTACTGCCCCAGCCGCCGCCGCCGCCGCCGCCGCCGCCGCCGCCGCCGCCGCCGCCACTGCTGCCGCTGCCGCGGTCGCCAACACTACTGCCCCAGCCGCCACCGTTGGAGCGGTAGCCGTCACGATGGTGCGAGCGGCTGACGCCATCAAAGCCGGTGTGTCGGGGCCGACTGCTGCTGCGATACCGACTGCTGCTGCCGCGCTCATCGCGATACCTGTCGCGATACCGATCGCCGTGGCCCCCGTACCGATGGTCCTCTCGTTCGCGCTTGGACATCTCCACCCACGCAACACAATGATGGCCGAGCCCCGCGCAGGGTTCCAACTTTTTGCGGGGTGTGGTATGGTTCGCGACCCAAAGGGTGGGGGGGTATGGTCCTGACCGCCCACCCCCGGTCTCCGGGAGGCTGGGTCTGTCAGCAGGCGGGGGGTATGGTCTCGAGGTGGGTTGCGAGTACCGTACCATACCCCGCAAAAAGTCCGAACCCAGCGTGAAGACACTCAACAGAAAAGAATTTGTGGTATGTAGTACGATTCACAAAAGCGGGCGACGAAAAAAAGATTTTAGCATCGGAGTAAGAAAAAAACGCGACGGCGATAAAACTCCCTCCCTCACGAACGCGCACCCCCGGGGCTAGGGCTCTCTTGCCCGCAACCCGATCCCGATCATCCGGCCCGCTGGGTGCGCTTCTCAGCTCCCCGGCCCTGGATGTGAGGCTGCCGAATGCACTCCAAGTGCTCCAAGTGCTCTCACCCACCATCCCCCCGCTCGCCCTCCTCCACGAGCCGGCCGCCGCGCTGCTCGGCCGCGATCATCGCACCGTCGCGCTCGTCCGCCCCGGTCCGCGTCGTCGTGTCCGTGATCAGATCGATGGCCTCAGCAAAGGCGACGCGGATCGGCGTGTACTCCATGCCGAGCTCGCGCTTTGACTTTCCCGCGTCGAAGCACAGCGTCCCGCTCACGGCAGCGGCCAGCGCGGACCAGGTCCGGACATCGCAAGCTAGCTGGGTCGAGGATACAGACACGTCCAAAACAAAATCTCGACACGTCCCAAGAGAGGGAAGAACCAAAGCGAGATCACCCGAGAGCAGCTGAGCCTGCCTCTGGCCTCGCCTCCCTCTCCTCCAGGCATTCGTGGCATCCTATGGGTCGTCCAGAGTATCGACCTCTGGCTTGTCAGTCGCGGTCACTTGATGACCCCCATGAAGTACATACAGCGATCGCCACCTCGCTGGCCTCTCCGCAAGGCCCCCCCGACCGCGTCGAACTCATCGGCGCGGGCTCTCTCGGCTACGGGACCGGCCCCAGCTTCGGCTGAGGGCTAACAAGTTGCCGAGCCCAAATCACTGTGAGAGTCGTGTTTTCTTGTTGGTCTTTGAAAATCTCTCTCTAAAGGAGAAGGTGTGGAGATGTAAGGTAAGGTAAGGTGTTCTAAAATGCTAAATGGGAGTTTTGTTGTAAAATTCTAAAATCGTGCGACCGCCTTTGAGGCTTTGTTGTAAAACTTCTAAAATCTCTCTCTCTCACACGTCCCCACCTTTGCAGGATTTTGCAAAAGCGAGGGGGTGGGGGCGCACGAACAAAATGCAGAGGCAAGAGCGCGGATTCTTCTTTGGTCGTCTTCTTTCTTTCGCCTTCAAAAACGACCGGGGACAAAATGCAGAAGGAGGGCCGGGAAAAAGGCACGCCGCCGCCAACAGGATCTGCCAACAACAAGCCAAGGCGCGGTCTGGGACGGGGAACACAACACGTCCCTGGGTAGGTAGGTAGGTAGGGACTAGGTAGGTCCCTCTTACGACGGCACAGAAAGAAAGAATCCGGCCGCGCTTGCCCTGGCTCGCGCGCGCCGGGGTCGCTTGGTGGGCCGTGGTGTACCTGTAACGTGTCAGTGCGAGCCCGCCCGGGATTTGGCGGCGAAGAAGAGCAGCCCGTCCCAAATGGAGGGCCAAATGGAGGCCGCCGAGGCGCGTGAGCTGGCTTGGGCCGGCTGCATTCCGGCAGTCTTCTCGCTCGCTCAAGATGAGGTGACGACGCTGGAACCGCCGCCGTGCTACCACGCAAACCTGCCGCGGCAGAGCTGGCTACCACTCGTGACGGGCGAGGTGGTAGAGCACTTCCTGCCTTTTGCGCCGCCCATGGCACGCGCCAGCTCGATGTGGATGCAGTGCCGCGGCGAGCCGCTGCGGTGGCAGGTGCCGGTGGGCGTGCTCTTTGACCTGCTGACGAGCGGCGACGACCAGCCGGGCAATGGCGATATGCTGCCGTGGCAGCTGACAGTTCGCTTCCAGGCGCGGCCGACGGACCAGCTGCGCGGCTCGGTCGACGACGCGAAAGCCCTCGTACGCTCGGCTCTGAAAGAGTCTGCGTTCCTGCGTTGCGGCTCGGCGCAACCCGGTGCGCCGCCCACCCGCTGCCCAGTCGGCGGGTGACACCTCACATTCCGCGCTCTGCCGCTCCCACCGACGCGCGCTGCAGCATCGCTCACGCTGGACCGCCCCCTGTACGCAGTCATGGACCTGAGTCCGCTCGACGACGCGCCAAGCCTCTGCGCATCGGCGGATCGCGCTATCGGCATCGACCATCAGCTTCACTGATCCCTTCAGGTCGCCGTCGGAGTCCACCCCCTTGCTCACGATCATCTAGCCCATCGCGCACCGCCGCTTCCGCCACCGCCGCAAACAGCGCGTCTGCAGCCAGACCCGCCTTCGCATACGCCCACACCGTGTTGGCCAGAGCTGAGCTCGCGGTCGCGCGCCTCACCGCGCTCTCCTCTCACACCTCAGGCGCGCATCTTTGAGGCCCTCTGCAGTGCGTCGCCCATCGAGGCGGGCTCGCCGGCGCCGGCGCCGTCGAGTGGCGGGTCGCCGCCACCACTGCCGCCGCCATCCTGCTTGCCTCCCGCATCTCCTGTGTCATCGCAGGCGGCGGCGGGTCAGGCGGCAAGCCAGCAGACGCCCGCAGGCAAGCAAGGCCAGCCGAGTGCTTCGGATGCGCCGGCCTCGTCTCCCTACGAGGTGAGCTCTGCGTGCGTACGCGCGCGCACAAGCGCGCGCATCGCGCATCGAACATGCTACCAGGTCACAGTACGGGTCCGGTACCTGTTCACAGCAGTGCGGGGGTAGGGCATATGCACACCACCGCAGCCACAGTCCTACGTCCACCATCGCTCGAGCCACTGCAATCATCGCAACCGACGCACCCTCACCGCCCCCGCCTCCAAAAGAAGGAACCCCGCCGCCGAGCCGCAGCAGCCGCTGCCAGATGAGCCTCCCCCCCTCCCCCTGCGCGCCATCGGCGCAGGTCTACTGCCAGGCACGCACGCCGCTCGAGGCGTCTCTGCTCCGGCGCGAGATATAGGCGAGATGTGCTCGAGAGAGCGCTCTAGGCTGTTTTGCTCTGGCGTGCCGCCTCTGCACACACACCCCATGCTTTGCGCCCGGCACTGCGCCTGGGCTGGGCACTCCACTGCCCGGCCCATGACCTTGTTGCTTGCCACCGGTCAGAGCAGCGCCTTTCCCCGTTCTGCCCTTCCAAACCCATGCCTTTCCCCGTTCTGCCCTCCCAAACCCAACCCTCGACCCTGACCCCGCTCGCCCTGCCCGCCGCAGCTCGCTCGGCAGCCGCGGCGAGCGCGCTGTGCCGACCCGCGCCTTTGTCGCGCAGCGCGAGTGGCGGCAGCTGCCCGTCGCTCCGCTGCTGCCCTCGGGCGACCCAACCACGCGAGTCCACGTCCTCGCCGCCTCGACCAGGGGTGTCGGTTGTGTCACAACACGCTCCACCGCAGGCTCGCCGACGCTCTAGCTCTGCTACTGCCACGCGCCTTTGCAGCGGCTTCCGACGCCGAGAGCTCCGGCGGCGAGGGGCAGCGGCCGACTGCAATCGTGCAAGGGGTGGTGGTAGAGCTGAACACGCCCGTCTCTTGGCTGTACGAGGCGTGCTCCCACCCGGACGGCTTTCTATACGTGGTTTGCTTGATGCCCCAGTCACAGCGAACGCGAGGGTAGGTCCAAGCACATCCCTGCTGAGGCACTAAACCGCAGTACCAGTAGCTTCTCCAAGTCGCTCTGTTGGTCCCCTTTTGGGCGCACGCGAGGGAAATCGGCGCACGAGCGGAGTAGTAAACACCGAGACGATACGTCAACGGTCAACGAGAGAAAAGACTTAAGTTTTGGGGGGTCGCGCCGTCCCCCCCCACGCACACTGGCCCCGCCGCGTCAGCCCGTGTGACGCCGCGACCCTGGGCGCTGGGGACGCGCTGGGCACGCGCGCACGCAACGCGGTTTTCGAGATATATCGAGACGAGAGCGCAAGCGTTTAGTATTACCCCGATCACCGCCACGACCGTCCTCGCCGGTACGTGTGACCTCACGTACGCAGCAGTGCCAGCTTCCACGCCGCACCCTCAGGGCTGACGAATAAACGAAAAGTGCGGTTCAACAAAAGTGCGTGCTTGCAGCTCCAGCAGGCAGTCTCAAAGGTCTACGGGTCAGGTGGCAGGCTCCCCGTTTCCCTCGTTGTCGCTTTCCGTCGATGCCTTGCACTGCATCGCCTTCTCGTCGGCGAGCTCCGTGCTCGAGCGCGCGATCTCCGCGTCGAAGGCGCGCTCGCGCACCCGCAGCTCGTTCATTTTGCGGTCCTGCTTCCCCTTGCGGCGGCACAAGTAGCAGAGGCCGCAGCAAAGGGCCGCCGAGAGAACGAGCACGCCAGTTACGGCACCCCCAGCCTCTGCGGGGTGCTCCTTTGCCTGCTCCTCCATTTGTTCGATCACCTCCTCCACCGTCTCCACGAAGGTCTTGTGAGGGTATGACGGTGGCCGTGGAGGCGTCGGTGGCGGTGGGAACGGCGAGGGCTTGGGCGGTGGGAGTGGCGAGGGGGAGGGGCTCGGGGAGAAGAGGCTCGGCGGAAAAACAAAGTCTCCTTCATCGTCGCCCGGCGCGGCGCCAGACTCCCCCTCTGGTGCGCACACCTCCGCATCGGGTGCCGGGATGTCGCAGTCCTCCCAGCGCTGGCTCGGGTCGGTGGTGTAGCACCAGGCGCTGCCCTCGCTCCGGTCGGGATTGCGGCAGTAGTTGTGGTCGCCGAGGCCAGTGCCCGGGTGTGTGTCTGGCGTGATGTGCGTGTGATTGTGCGGCGAGTGATCGCTCCACTTTTGGCACGTCAGGCCGTACTTGGTGGTGCTGATCGTGCCCCGGTAGTCGCACTCGTCTCGGCACGCAAAGCACCCCTCCACCACATGGCCAGTGCAGGTGCCCGTGCAGTTGTCGGCCGCGAAGGCCGCCGCCTCGTCGATGCCGAGCCACGTGTCGATCCCGCCGAGGCCGCCGTAAACGTGGCTGTACGAGTGCATGTCATCGGGCGAGAAGGCCGGCTCCGAGTCATAGAACGGCTCCGTGTCGTACGACGCCCAGGATTCGAAGGCGCCGATCTGGTCTGTCATCGCGCCGGGCAGTCCCTCACCGCCCAGCGTTGGGTCCCCGTCGACGGTTGCGCCCATCTGCGAGCAGCTCGGGAGGTCGCAATCCTCCCAGCGCTGCTCGGGGTCGGTGGTGTAGCACCAGGCGGTGTCCTCGCTCCGGTCGGGATTGCGGCAGTAGTTGTGGTCGCCGAGGCCGCCGTCGGGGTATAGTTCGGCCGTGATCTGTGAGTGGTTGTGAGGGTAGTTGGCGCTCCAGCTCTGGCATGTTCGCCCATACCTACACGGGCAGAGACTGGACTGAATGTGTGGCCGTGCCCGCTGACGCGCCAGCCCGTCCTGCGACGGCCACCTGGTGGTGCTGAGGGTTCCGCGATAGTCGCACGCATCGACGGCGGGGCCGGCGACTCGGCAGTACGCGTCACCGCTATTTGAGGGAGGCGGGCACGCCTCTCCCATCATTTTCCACGCTCTTGCCGGCGCTTGGCGTTCGGGGACGACTTTTACTCATGTTTGGTTAGATCCTGTCGCGAATCGTAAATCCCACAGAGGTCCCCTGCGCGGGCCCCGCCCCCAGCTCTGAAAGCATGCATGATGAGAGGCTTGATAGGAAAAGCTCACACAGTCACAGACGATACACAGGCGTGCACAGAGTGTCGCAGGAGATTGTGGAGAATGACCTCCAGACTGACCCGGAGAATCACCTCCACCCAGCCCCCACCTCAGCACCCCTATTATCACTCTCCCCCCCCCACAGTGATGAATAGTCTACCTATATCCCTATTATTCCCACACCCTGTGCAGTGGCACGTCTTGCCACCTAGACCCCCAATATTAGCACCTTGGGCGCCGAATAGGCGCCCAAACATTGGCACGTAATAGTTCCCCAACTGCTCCGTTGCGCCGCGCGCTGCGAGACAGTCAACCCTCTTCATGTGCTAAGTCACAGCCCGGTGTCAGGCATGGGCCACAATCGAAGTTGAGGCTTCTTCCCGAAGCGCTATTTATCGTACCAAACTCTTCAAACTCTGTCGCGCGGGAGCTCGGTCAAGGGGCGGTAAAGAGATGTAGGACCTTCCTTAGGTCCGCCTCTCAAGCCCTCACTGTCTGCGATGTGAGCTTCTTGTTTCTTATCCATTTTAAGAATTCTTATCACCTACTTAGGCGGCTCCGGTGGTGTGCCGGTGTGTCTGCCAGTACGCGCCAGTCCGCGCCCTTGTCGTGCCAGTGGGGTGAACCTTCTTTTCTAGAAGGCTAGGATCGAGAGCAGCCTCGCTCTCAATCCTAGAAGTCGAAGGATTGCGAGCAGCACTCCTCGCAATCGTAGCATCTCTGTGCGATTGTGAGCGCCTACGCTCGCAATCCTACATCTTCTAGGACTAAGAGCAGCTCCGCTCCCAAGATAACTGGTGACGCCTGCGACTACTACCAGCGCGCTCACAATCCGAGCAAAGTCTAGGATTGCGAGCAGCACGGGCTCACAATCCTAGCGACAAGCTTCCGATTGCGAGCAGTAGCGCTCGCAAGGAGTTGCAGCCCCTTCTCCGACTGCGTTTAATTTTGCGCACCTGCTGTCCGCCGCCGCTGCGGCGCAGCGCTGCGCGCCGCTGACGCGCGCTGCGCGCGCGTTTTTGGGGTGCAGCGGCGCTGCGCGCCGCTTAGGAATGCCTGCGGCACCCCTAGCGCGCGCTGCGCGCGCGCGTTAGGGGTGCGGGGAGCACCGAAAAATTGCCCTTTTTACGCCGGGAGTTTTGCCAGGTGACCGAACACGGCTTTGCGTCATTCCACGCGCCGTGTTCGAGGACAATAGATGACAATGGACCGCACCAGAAGCACGTGTTCAGCCTGTTTGCCCCTGCACCGGTGGCTTCGAACGCTGTTGGGCAAATCTCTATGTCCTACGCGATCTCGCGCAGCGCAATGATGGTGCTACAGGACGAGAATGGCCGCCGTTGCGGCAACCCCCACAAGCGTGTCGTCTTCGTGAGACCCGATTTAATGCTCTTCCAAGACATCGCCTTCCACTCCGCTGAGTGGCGCAATCGCACGCGCACCGTCCATCTGGGTCCGGTGATACCCTCCTCCCGCTACCCCTCAGCCTACTCCGACAACTTCTTTTTAGTTGGCTACGACGGGCTGCAGATGCTCAGCGGCGTGTTTGTCGGCAACACGATCGCGCAGGCCGGTGGGGAGGTCCTAGCCTCCCACCATTGGCTACACCGTCGCGCGAGCAACAAGAGTTTCAAGCGGATCCCTGGTGACGTCCAGTTTGCCTTGTACCGCGACTTTTTGAGTCCGAGCTTCTTTGGCGCCAAGCTCGGTTTCTCATTTTTGCGTGATACGTACAACATGACGGAGGAGCAAAGGAGGCACACGGCCGTACCGTCTACCTCGAACGCGACGCTCGACCAGCTGCTGGACATAGAATCAAATGCAGATGCAGGACCGGTCGGGTCGAGGCCATTGCTGCAAGCTGGCATCCAAGGAGGCAACGGCGGTGCATCAATGCTGCATAGGGATGGCTCCGCAAGAAGCGGATTGCAGATTGCCCTGCGTTGTACCCTGCGGCCAATCTGCTTGCCCGCTCGCCAGCTCGGAGTCCGGCATGAACACGAGCTCTTTCGCTTAGATCTTTTCGAGAATTTAAACAACAGAAGTCTCTCTCACAGCAGCTTTTCGAGAAACTCCACATGCAAACCCATGGGGAAGTGCGAAAGAGGGGGTGCAGCGAGTACGCGTGAGAAGAAAAAATATTCTTAGCTTTCTTGCCCCCCTCCGAGACTGGAGACAGAACCCACCCGTACACAGGAGAGATGGGACTGCCCCCCGCCCCCGCTTGCCCTGACTGCACAGGATAGCGGCGACACATAGCGGGGGGCACTGCGCAAGGAGGGGGTGTGTGAATAGCGCCACAAGACGCATTTTCTTCTCATAACAAGGCTGTGAAGGCCCAAGGGGTTGTGTTTTTGTCTCTTGGGTCCGGTTGTGTTTGTGTGTGAGCTTGTGCGTCTTGGCCCGTGGTTGTGTTTTTGCAGCGCCATAGGAGGTATTTTCTTCTCAATATGGGCCGAGCGTGGTCGCCTCGGCCGGCGCCGCGGCGGCGCGTGCGACGGTGCTCACGCTGGTGCCTCCGCCGCCACACGCGGGTGGCAACGCTTAGGGTGGCGATCGGCTCGGCTGGAAGGGGGCTTTTGTCGCCTTCGGCAACACCGAGCGGGCGCTGCTCGACTTAGTGTTAGGGCATGCTGCATGGCCGCGGCCGGAGGGGGGGGGGAGGGGGGGAGGGAGGCGGAGGATGCAGAGGCGGAGGCGGCGGCGGCGGAAGAGGAGGAGGGGGAGAGTGAGGGGGAGGCGGAGGCGGGGGCGGCACCTGTGACGGCCCGCTACGAGAAGGGCGAATACCGGTTCGCGCGGGAGAAGAATTGCGACCTGCGTTTGCTCGACTTCGAGACGTTCGGCGGCTTCGGGGACGGCGTCCGCAAAATTCTTCGGCAGGCGGCGGACCAGCTGAGTAACAAACTTTCGCACGCTCAGCACCTCGATGAGGTCACATGGACCACCAAGAACTGGCACGGGCTGCAGATGCAGCGCTTGTCTGTCGTCCTCCACACCGCCGTGGCGTGGCAGACGGTGAACGAGCTAGCGTGCGGGGACAGCGGCATTGTGCACGGTGCTAAGTGCATTGCCGTTCTTAACGGAGTCGCTTAGGCGGCTCCGGTGGTGTGCCGGTGATAGTACTAGCACGCGCCAGTTCGCACCTGTGTCGAGCCTGTGTGCTGTGAGAGAGAGTTCTTTTGTTTAAATTCTTGTGGGCGGACTCTGCCGCACGATGGCCATCACGCTCGCACCTGCCGACCGCCGCCACGGCGGCGAGACGCCTCTTCCGCCACCGCGGCGCCGGTCACAGGCCAGCGCTATGCAGCTGCTGGCCACACCGGGCCGGATTTGCCGGTAATCGTCGCCGCACACTCCTGCGTCCACGCCACTGTGACGTCTGGCGACGAGGCGCCGGCCGCCAAGCTTCATCGCCAACGTGGTCGCTCGCTGGTCCTCTCGGCTCGGCCACGCGTCGGCCCAGCTCGCACGAGCTCCAGACAGCCACCGGCCGCCACGCGTAAAGCGTACGGGTCGCCGGCTCCCTGTTGTGCTCTCACCCTGGCCGGCGTAAAACTGTACTGGCAGTTGTCATGCCGTACCCGTCGCGTTTCGAAAAAAAGCCCTCGATCGACCCCTCTACACGCACCGCGCCACCGCTCTCCACAACTGCTACCGTGGACATCAAGCTCCTCGACTCGATCTGCGGCTACGACGGCGCTCTAGCTGCTGGCTGTCGCGGGTGTCTGGCGACCCGCTCAGGCTTGCGAAACGGCCGGCCGTGGCGACGTGTTTCGAGCTCGGTGGTCTTCTCCGCGCGGCTGGGCCCGCCCCTAGTCGGGGCCGACCCGCCCAGTCACTGGGCAGCGCTTGCGCCGTCGTCCTGGACGACGGTGTGCTGGTGCATCCGGGAGGCTCCGCGGGGCTGCTCTAGCAGCCTCGGGAGGGTCGAAAATCGAAGCCGGAGCAGCGGACCACGGAAGCTCCACGGACGGTGAGGCGGGCTGTGGTTGGCCCCCCCCGACCGGGTGAGGGAGTGGCGCCCCGGGAGTGCCGCTCCGGCGACGTCCGTGGCCTCAACGGCACTGTGACCGCGGTGCTCGCTCTCGCGGCCGTCTCGCGACCCGCTCGAGACGAAAACCGGACCGGCCGGTGCGACGCACCGCGAGTGGGATGGTCTTCTCCGCCCGGCTGGGCCCGCCCCTAGTCGGGGCCGACCCGCCCGGTCACGGGGCAGCGCGTGCGCCGTCCCTCCGGGATGTGAGGGGTCGATGAGTCCCTCGGCCCGCGCGGAAGTGTCTCGGAAAGGCCCCGTGGAGCCGGACAGACAACGCAGCCGCGAAGGGCCCGAGGTGCTTCGCCGACGGTGAGGCGGGCTGTGGTTGGAGCCACCGGGCGGGAGGCGGGCATGGTCCACCAGCGGCATGGCTGCGAGCACGCTGGCCGGCTCCACGGCACTGTGACCGCGCTGAAGCAGCCCTCGGCAAGGCCCCTGAGGCCGCCGGAGAGCCTAAAAGTGTGAGCGGGTGCGTATATAACGGGAAGGACAGTACTCCCGAGCCGGCTAGGGCGTTGGAGCACCTATGGAATGGCGCCGATCCCGCATTTTCCCCGGGGCTTACTCGAACCCGCCGCCACCCGTACCTCGCTCCAAACCACGCCGGAGCAGCTCTGGTCGTGCTCGGGACGGGGAGAGGAAAGTTCGGGGCACAAGAGCGTCGAGTAAGCCCCGGGGAAAATGCGGGATCGGTGCCATTACCCGTGGCCCGGGATCCGGCGGCGAAAGTTTGGTCCCGTTCGGCCAAACGGGCGTTAGCGGCTGTGGTTTCGGCCTGCACCCTCTCACGGCTCCGAGAGGGGCTCGAGAG